ACACACACACACACACACAAAAAGCAGCTATCAGATGTCAACGCTCCGGAAGTTCAAAACAAACATCGGAGCGTGAGGAACTGAACTCTGGACACAAACACAGACACACAAATGGAAACATTTACTTAATCTCTTCTTCTTTATGAGCAGAGAACGACAAACACTTTATGAACAGCGGTAAATGGATTTCCTCACTCCGCCCACACAATGAGTTTCATATTGATATACTTTGGACTTTTTTCATATTGCTCGTGATTGCGATGAGCATCGACATTGTTTTGTTGCCCAAACCCCCGTTGATTCCAGACTTTGATTTCTACTTTTCACACAAACGAATTCAGATCAGCTTTAACCTGGATGTCTGCGCATACAAATCAACACATCAGTTACCTGAGTGACCTGAGTGCTGATGGGATTCAAACATATGGAAGGAGCAGCGTAACCCCTTTATCAAGTCGCTCTCTCGTCAGGACAGCAAAGTGAAGAGAGTCTGTTCCACAAAGGCTCCGAGCCCATTGAGTTTCAGGCCTCAAATATATAATCAGCTCAAATTCTTGTGAGTTGTTTAACCTGTAGTTGTCAGATTCAATTCTAACTTCCTCTTGAGGCTTAAACCATTCGATTGAATATTGACCGGAGCCTGAAGGACGCAATTATTTTCCAACCAAAGGAGACACTTAACACAGAAATCACAGCCCAGCCAAGTGTTTGACTAATGTGGGTTTCTATAAACACATGATCTGCAGTTTGTCCCTGTTCTGAGGTAAAAAGGTTCAAAAGACAAATCGTTAGAAGAACTAAAACTGACGATATCCATGGATTCTTAAAGGTTTAAGTCTCTTTGAATCCTGGTGAACTTCGACCCACGACGTTTACTTTGCATTTGAACATTTGTGACTCTGTTCATCACTTTGTGGTTTACTTTTACTGTAACACACAACTGTTTGTGTGCATGCTTGTGTGTGATGTGTCAGGATGAAGGTTGTGTACATGGACGCGAGACAACGCGATTCATTCTCTGTAATAAATCACAAACTGAGACGTCCCTGACACTTCCTCTCATCCTGACGGAGAACACACACATCCGATGTCATGACGATGCAAACATGAATGAGCGAGAGCGTGCGTGTGTGTGTGTGTGTGTGTGTGTGTGTGTGTGTGTGTCTCAGAAGTAACAAACACACATTAGACAGAATGGGACACTCTGTGATCAAACGTGGAAGTTGGCAGTGTTGGAGAAGATGGAAGGAATGAGTACGTGAGTGTGAACTGCAAACACAGCAGGAGAACGCAAGAGCAGGGCAGACGAGGTGAAGCCAACTGAGATTAGAGAGGAAGAGATGAGTGGAGAGGAGAGGAGGAGAGGAGGAGAGGAGGGAAAGGAAGAGAAGAGGGTGAGGAGAAGAGAGGAGAGAGAGAGAGAGGAGGACAAAAGTATTGAAATAAATTGTGCAGAGAAACACAAAGTTGTGTTAAACATCTGCACAGTGACATAGTTTTTTAGATTTAAGAGCTGCTGATATCAACGTCGTTCCCACAAAATAAAATAAAAATCAAACACACACAAACTTAGTAACGGTAGCAATCAGGGGGTGGAGCCACGGTATCGACCTTGTGCCGATACACACACTCAACCAACCGCAAGTCAGTCTCACCTGTCAATCATGACGCTTCAACAAGTTTTAAAAGCGTAAATTATAAAGAAAACATTTTCAGTAAATGTATTTGTAATGTAAAGTTGATGTTTTAGTTTGGTCCATGTCCCATCAGCTAACGAGGAGGAGGTGGGATTAACATATACTGCAGCCAGCCACCAGGGGGCGATCAAGACAATCATGATGTCCATCTTTTCGTATTGTCTAAGTTACACACACACACACACACACACACTGCACATCATACAAAACTCTTTGTTTGTAAAGACACATGTTACCGACCTGGTGCTGTTTCCCAGCAGACAGACAGGGGTCGGACACACACTGAGGACAACATCGTCCAGGCTGAATCACCAAGTTCTCGTGCTGAGGGAAGAGGAGAAGAAAGAACTCACCCACAATAATAGAAGAGAAACAAATCCACTCCACCGTTCTGTGGTGAAACGTAATTCGATTACACACACCGCTGGAAATACAAGCTGCGGCAGTGTTGTCAGACATTCTGACGTCTCGGCAAAAACAATCTCACCAAGACTTAGACCAGATCAATATCACTTTCATCTCTGTGCCTCCAGCTCTGACGTGGCTGTTTGACCGAGCTCAAACACAAAGTCTGGAGATAGAAGAATCGCTTCTCTTACTCACAAAGCATATCACGTTTATTTTACCGGTTCAGGAGAGAAAATAAATTAAAATAAAAAGTTTTTTTTTTGCATCGGAGTATCTCGGTTGTTGCCACAAGAGTCAGAGTGACCTGTAGTACCTGATATATTTAACTGAGTGAAGGAGTTTAGCATCACACGATAGCAAATGTTATCGACAGCTTGAAACTCCTCTGATTCCAGAGTTCACCCAACAGCTTTGGACAAACACTGATGTCTTCAACTCTACATTGAGACTACAGTATTTATCAGAATGTATTTCCATGAGGGGACAATGAGAATCGTTCTCATCTGTAACAGTAGGAACATGTTTTTTATTCCAAGCAGATAAAGTGTGTGTGTGTGTGTATTGGAACAAACGAGCATACGGAGGGATAATTAGAATAATTAAAATCACAATAACACCACATAAGGCTCCGAACTAAAGTTTACGAGTTCGGAGAGTGAAGTTCTGCTTTTCAGAGATCCAGAGAGGAAAGTCTGGAGCTTTTAAAAAACAACTTGACGATCGATGCTGCAGCAGGAGGAGGAGGTCAAGGTAAAATCTACGTCACTGATATGGATGAAAAAATATGTGAAATACTGGGATGTTGCTCCGCCTTGTTTTCTTCCCCCAAGAAGCTAATGAACACTGAACACATCACGCTGACCCTCCGTGGATTTATTACGATGTACATCATTTCATTTAATACATCATATAAAGCTCCAGTGCACGAAAGAACCTAAAAGATGGGTCAGAGTAATTTAGCACTAGAGCCACAAGCCAGGAGAAGCAGTGGAACAGAACACGGGCTCATTTTTATCCTGTTTAAATACATCAACTTCACAACTCACAAACTTAGAGCAGGAGTGTGTGTGTGTGTGTGTGTGTGAGAACACTTACAGGTTTGCAGGCCACTTGCTGACACTCTGCCACCGAACACTGGACGCCCCCATCACTGCAGACACATCTGGAACAGAGGCTGGGCTTCCACTCCTCACCATCCCTGTACACAACCCCCTGCCAGGAGCAAGACTCTGACACACACACACACACAGACACACACAGACACACACAGGACATGTAAACAGTGAGAACGGGTGTCAGGTAATGAGCTGACATAGTTTGCCCACACACATTGATTTACAGTCTGGGAATAACGCAGTCACTAATTAGCTGCTAATCACTGAGATGCATCATAGAACCTCCAAGACATCATTACAGTCGAGATTAAGCTATCGGGTCGCTGCAGCTGCTCCGTGTGCACGATAAAGCTCGGGGTCTGTCATGACAACTTCCTGTCTGACACAAGGACAAAAGCGTTGTCCGAGCACACGAGGATCACTCGCCCCGGGGGGAGATGCTGCTAAATTGCTTGTACTTTGGAAAATACCCACAACAATCTACGTTCAGTGAGATACAACGAGCTGTAATTAATATCCAGCAGCAATAACGCAGTACACACAAAAACACACCAAAAAAATGATGTGTAATAACGGCAGGAGTAATTATCAGTGCAACCCTGAAAACATCCCTCATGCAAATGTGGGAAACGCATTTTAAGGCACCTGATGAAGAACTGCACTGGAGAAATTAGCATTTTAATTGCAGCTCAGTGTGGATGTATAAACCTTGAGGGCATCAGAAAACAACCTCTGGACCTAATTAAATAAGCATGGTTTCATAAAGCAGCTCAGAAAAATGATAAATTACATGTTTCCACACACAGAGGAACCAGTTCACTGCTAGAAACGATACCAACACTCGCACACTGGGAATTATCTGTACAACATCCAGTCGCCTGAATTCTCACATGAGCCAAAAATACATTTTCTGTACATTTTAGAGATATTCTGGCTTCGTTTGTGGATAGTGGGAGGAAGTAGAGACGTGTAGTCAATCTTTATAAACAGTCTTTGTGTAATATTTGCTAAATATACACATAGACTGTTTAGAATCTTTACATTTCTAGAAGCTGCATTTCCAGTTTGATAATTCTGGTAGTTCTGAAATGCACGTACGAGGGAGGAAGCATCTGCGAGTAAAGAGCGGAACATTTGAATTCACAAACTAAATCCAGGCTTTCCCTCCAATCTAGAACAAATCTGGATTCAAAGAAAAGGTGATTTAATTTGGTTAATTTAAATAGATGCATCTGCTGCATCTGAAATCAGTGTGTGCAGGTGATTTTCTGAAGGGAGTCCTCACCTCCACCGCGGCCACACTTGGGACAGCACTCCCTGGCCGGAGTGAACGGGCTCTCGTCCTCTGGACAGCTGAGAGGGGGGCAGGGGCGAGGGTTGCACGATGCACTCCCTCTGGAGCAAACACACAGCGAACATGGCGAGGGACTCCACTGGCTGTCATGCTGATGGAACCACGAGAAACAGAGAGAGAGAGAGAGAGAGAGAGAGAGAGACAGTTAGACACAGAAACACAACCACAGGAGGAGAGAGACAGTGGGATGAGAGAAAGTGGTTTCGCTCTCTGTGGACACGACAACTTTGTAAGCCTAAGCCTGAGTGACAGAGGAGAGAAGAGAGCGGCAGCGGGGAGGGAGGAGGTAAAAGACGGATGTGTCAGAGAGAAGAGACCATGGGAAGAGGAGAAGAATGTGACAGGACATTACCGTCACACGTGGAGATGACTCATTTCAGTGTGACTGAGTCTTGCCCGGTTTGAGGGTTTCGATTGTTGGCTTCGCTGCAACACTAAGCTCGTCGGCGATCCTCCGGGAATTCTATCCTTCGTTTTATTTAGTGTTGAGAAAATGCTTCAAGGCTTCGTGTACTGCTGTAAAAACACGAGCAGCGTTCCCTGTGATTGACAGAGCTGGATTGATGGGTTCTATTCTCGCACACAGGAATCTCTGGGGTGTTAATTAGAGTTAGACATCTCCTATAGATCCACTTGTGGATATAATGTGTAAGATTGGTTTTATTCTTTCAGTATAAATTACGTATCGGCATGTTCTTGCCTCCAGTCACAACCGGAGAGGTTTATTTATTTGCAATTTGAAGATTTCGGTTGCAAATATTTAAATCTAAAAAGAACTCAATTAGAGTTTTTTCTTCTTTTGAATTTTGAAAAGATCACGATCTGTCAACTGTGCACAAAATAATAAATAGTTTAAGAAGTTAGCCCAGAGAACAGTTAACAATACTGTTATCCAAAATACATGTAAAAATCTTCCAAAGTCCAGTGGTTGAACAACAATTGTCACATTACTAAACCACATTTATCGCCTGTGGTCGTTTGCCTCCACCAGCCAGTGCAGATCCAGTCATATGATGTCACTGTGACCTCTGACCACCAAATGGGAAACCTGAACACACACTGGCTGTCACCGGCTCGGAGGCAACAAGAGGAAAACGCCGGATTTTTCCAAACAGTCCTGGGAAAGGAGCAGCAGCAGAGTCACGTCAGCCCTTGTCCTTCAGTGAAGATGCAGTAACACCCTCAAAAAGCCACGACTCCTATTCAGACCTCGATCCCCTGTTCGCTCAGATCCGTGTGAAGTGCCCACTTCAGCCTGGAGAGCAACCACACTCCAGAACAACTGTCTTCAGGACATGTTTTTGTCCAAAATGGCAGCAGAAAGGTCCAGAGGGGAGGACACTCCATCGAGGAGGCGATCGTTAAAAGAGATAAAATAAAGACATGAGAAACACAAAATAAAGCACACAGACGGAGAGTGTAGCGTCTGTATCCGGGACAGTTTGGCTTCATTTCTGGACATCGGAGGGAAGTGAAGACCAGTCGTCCATCTTCATAAACAGTCTCTGGTGCAGCCTCAGGGGACATTTCACCAAACTCTAACTCCAAACAAACAATCCGATTGTTTCTTTGCTCCCCGCAGATTAGAAGTGAAAGGGAGGCGAAGGTTCGTCGATGATACTTTCACGTATGTGAGACCACTCAGCGATGTCGTCATTCTGGTTCATGGACGTTCAGCACGTTCTCTCCATCCTGAAGGTCTGAAGGTGACCAAGCAGGGCCGAGGTCAGGCCTCAGTGCGGGGATGTCAAGAAACTAGGAGAACAATTTCTCAGAGGCATCGTCATGATGAAACAGGCACAGAAACTGATGCCAATAAAATATCTGAAATATTGTTGCAGGCTGTCATTAAAGAAAATATAATCCAGGGGCCATAAACTGTGTTTTTTAAATAGATCCATACAGAGTGCATGTTTCTGTGTGCATGATAACATTCAATCATTTATTGGAAAGGCTGGATGAAACACGGAGCTGCACTCACTCCATGGACGACTCCCTCGTACTGGCAGGAACCCTGGGACGAGGAGATGCACTCTGGACAGCACTTGTTGGCAGCGATTCTCAAATGCTCGCCCTATAGAAAACACGAACACACATTAATACACGTATGCACAGTGAGCAGGACCAAGATACACACAAATGCCCCCGTGTTTCCCTGTAAGCAGCATGAATACAAAACTTGACGATTACAATCTTATTTCCATGGAAATTGAGCGACATGTGACACAAGCGAAGAAATGGAAATGAAAAATATGAAGACTATCAGTCTGGCACGGCGTGTAGAATACAGAGCGGGTGCAGGCGGAGGCATTACAAAAAATATTACAACACAGATTCACCACGCCGCCACGCTACCTATGCGAGCTAATTGAGGTCGAATGTGCGGCGGGAAGCAAATGGGAAAGCAGAGAGGGCGAGAGGCAGAGCCGAGGAATAGTTCAGAGGTTTATTTGTGAATAGAAATGATATGGAATAGAAATAAAATGGAGCGGAAGAACGAGAGGCGAAAGAAAACAACCTCCAATAAGCTTCTGTGAACGTCTTGTATCAACTGATGAGGAGAACAAAACGGAAACACAACGAATCAGCAGCAGAAGACGAAGCACAGGAGAATAAACGTATGAATTACATGTCGGACATAAAGAGAGCGAACTCTGCTGCAGCTGTGGTTCATATAAAAAACTGAAATGTCAGTTTAAATTGTACTTTTGTCATTTATCACCTGTGACTCGTATAAATTAAATTAATCATTGAAAAAGTGTTTAAACCAACTTTAATTACTGTATTTGGGGTTTTTTATGAATTAAAGTTGTATCAACACAACTGGCTTGAGTTGGTTCTACTTGACTACGGGATTGATTCCAATCAACAGTTTGCGTTAATACAACTTAAATTCAAGTCAACTAAAATGTTCCGGTTTTTCCAACATGGTATTTTACTTAACTCCGATGAGAATCACTGATTCTTCACGACCCAATAAAATGATTTAGGAAAAGTAGTTTCTTATGTCAATCATGTTTGTTAAATGTTATTTTAATGATGAATCTTCCACAACAGCCATAAACGATGATAACAAAATATTTAGGCTCGTGTTCTCGTGTTTTGTCTCGAACATTTAATCTTTTTACTTGTTTCAGCTCCTCTGCTTCAGATATAATCGTAAAAAATGTGTCTGTACAAGAATTTGATTCAATTTGAGATTTTACTGCTACAAATAAAGACAGATGATACAGACTCGGGCTCATTTATCACTGGCTGCACAGTTACAGGAGTAAGGCTCAAGGTTTCCCAATATTGCTGTTGCTTCTGCAGCTAAATTAAAATAGCAGGTGAAACTGTAAACAGTAAATCTGAGATTCACGAGCCAGTGTTCCTGCCCGATCGTAGGATAAAGTGAACCAGAATCTAACAGTGTTGTGGACAGAGACACCTACGATATAAACGTCCTTTCAGACAGAATTTCATTCTTGAGCTGCCGTTCCTGGTTTGGAACAACGAACGGTCTTTAATAGTTAATGACGCTGGAATCAAATCCCACATTATCACTGCAAAATGCAAAGAATACGAAAATGTATAAATCAACATGTTTGCTTGTTGAAATCCAAATCTCAAATACTTCCAGACTCTCAGATTTAAGGGTTCGCTCAGTCATTTGGGATTGTTGAGCAGTTTAAAGCCGGCACTTCTCACTCTGTGTCGTTTTTTGATATTTCATGGACCAACCCATGAACCTGGAAAATAACTGACATATTGAAAGAATTATCATTTAAGTCTCACTTAATATTCCTCGACACTAGACGATTAACCCAGAGTTCAGCTTGTTACAGATACATTAAGGCCCCTTTATGAAAACTTAAGGTGGAATACAGAAAAGTTGACGAGGTGAGGAAATGAGGAGGAAACAGGGAAAAGGAAGCTCGTAGATAACGGCAGCCGATTTCAAAAGAAAGCCCTTGAATCAGGGACGGACAGATGATAATGTGTTTAACGTGTGATAGTGTTTTATCTTAGTGTTTATGTGACAGGGACTCACACTTTAAGAGCTTTTTTAAAAAGAGGGAGCACACAGCTCCGTGAGCACGAGGTCTAATTCTTAATTAACAATGAATTGCTCGACAGCAGAGTGGAATTCATTAGGCATTGATTGTTGCCTTAGCTCAGGGTTGGGATTGGATTTGATGGCGTCACCGCAGGCTCCACTTTTAAATCCCATTTAAGAAGAAGTACGGGGAGGAACGGGCGGATAGATGGAGTGAGAAAGAGTTCTGAAAATGTCCCCCTGTGAATTAAAATGAGCCAAAGGAGGTAGGCTGGAACCAACACTCGGCTAACTGTTGCCATTGTGGCAAATTAAATGGTGCACAGCACCAGACCTGAGAGCACAGTCGTCAGCTCATTGATTCAGTTTTGTTTAGTTTTTTTTTTGGGGGAAGGCCGAATCACAAAGACGAGTGATTGAATGGGCCCTTGAAGAGGGAGATACAAATATCACAAAAACAAGGATCTAAACATTCGAATCCTGAAAGCATCTGTGTCCTTCACCAGACAAAACATGAGTGGAGCTGAACTCTAAACGTTCAGCCTGTCGGAGGTTTGCTTCTCAAAGTAGTTCTTTAAAGAAGATACGCTTCTCAGGAAGAAAGATTCTGATCTTGAACTACGTCAGTGTGTACGTTTTTATTTTAAAATGGAAATTCAAAGCTACCCTGTCTAACCTGCAGTTGGTTGCTTAGTCTCCTCCCCCCCTAAATGTTCTAGTCACTAAGTGATAAAATACAATTATACAGTTTCATACATACAACTTGTGGACATCTTCTGTTTCTGCCCCTCAACACAAAGAGTTTTTTCAAACTGAACGTTGGGAGCAGTGTTTCCTAAGTTCTGGTAGCGTTGACGGCAGTGTGAGAACTCCCCCCCGCTCTGACTCACCCTCTGGAAGTCACACTGTGGGTTCGGGCAGTGGGGGGTCTTGCAGATGGACACGTCTCCATAGCAGGTACATTCCTGACAGGACTGTGGCCTCCAGGATGTGTTGTTCTGTAAAAATCACAAGAGACATGAGACATTAGACGAACAGATGATCCACTAACACACACACACACATCATCTTTATGATGAGACCCTGACAGTCTGTTTCACTGCCTGTACCCGTTTAATTATTACGTATTAAATAAGATAACTTTACTTTGCTCATGATGAAATTTTTGATTCACGCTTGGATGGATTCAAAAACTGAGGCTTCAAACTAGAGCAGTGACCACAGAGTGAAACGTGATAACAACACAGACAGTTGACTTGACGGACACAAAAAAAAAACACACTGTGTTGGAATCTTATTCCGAGGAACTGTTTCCATCGAAGCAGTTTGTATTACACGCTCTGTGAGCTCCATGATAGCCGGCTGAGGTTTTACTGCGCAAGCTGAGGAAACGGGAGCTCCGCTATAAGAAAAAAAATAATTTCATACTTTGAACTCTTACCAGCCTCTATACCCATGGCTGTAAAACACAGCAGGGTTTATTTGCTGCGGGTGAACCTGCTTCAGTGTTGATTAAAAGCCTCGAGCGCCGCGGCCGACGAGACAACGAGATGAGGCCAAAAAAGACAGAAAGGGCCCGAGATCACCTTTGGCGACACGGCTGCATATTTCACCACCTGATATTTGTCAATAGCTCATAATGCTGAGCTGACAGTGTCTTATGGCTAGCTTAAAGCCAAAGCTAAATCAATATCCCGGTGCCTGCATATACTCAGATATATCATCTTATAGTCCATAGATCTGATTTAGCCGGATGATTAATAACCCTCTCGTGACAGGAATATACAGCCGAGCTCACAGAGTGGACACTTCATGGCCGGTGGCGACTGTCGCACACATGTGGAGACTTTGCCTCATTCGAGACAGTAACTAAAACAGACATCTTTATGGACCGGAGACTTCAGCCTCAGGTAACAACCACAACTTCACTACTCAAGAAAATACAGAGTGGGAGGAATCACAGAATATTGGAATTTGCGGCTGGATGTATCGTCCTGGTTGTGCAGCCAGGAGCTGAATATAGTGGATTGATTTCAGAAAAGCTCCAACACTGAAGGGAAGAGTGGAAAGTACACACTCTGTGTTTCCAGCTCTATGTTCTATAGACTACAACTGCTAGGGTTTGTATCATATCACCCCGTACATGGTTTGATATTCTGAAAACAACTCAATTTGTGAATACAACTGTAGGAAGCATGTAGGGAACTGCTCAAATCTCTGAAGTACAAATTTTAATTTAGGTTAGAAAAATGAGAACCGCAGGTAATCGTCCTATTTATGATTCCTCTTCATAATTGAAATTAAAGCACATAAGTCGCTCAAAGTCATGCAGTGACATGTGGGCGTAGCTACAGGGCACGTTGAAAGACACACACAAAGGAGAACGCCATCACCGAATGAAAATCTGATTATGGAAAGCCGCCAGCTGAGGGGAATGGCGCTCCTGCAGAGAGCGCGTGACTTGATATGTTCCCCGTGATGCGGTTTGTGCCGTTTATGTGTCCGTCAAAGTGGGTTTAATTGTGCGTTTGTGGGTGAGCATCTCTGCGCAGCGGTGGCCAGATGTGTAATGACTCTTACGAAAGGGAAAACATGTCACAGGCAATCTGTGCACGCAACGTTAATGTTGGAGCTGAGGAGCGACAGTCAGGAGAAGCGGGTTGTCAAATGAAACGGAGGTTTTCTTTCAAGGTTCAAGCTGTGACATTTAACACCGACACACAATCCGAGGAACAAAACACACACAAAGGATTCAAAAATAAACTCTTTAAATGGGCCACTCACAAATAAGTGAATAATAAAAGAAATTATATAATCCTAAAATTTAAACGGCTCTCGTTACCCGAGATCATGAAGATCAACTCTCGTCTCTGTAAACACAACAGCTGCTATAAGTTTCCAGGAAGCCATCCAGGGGAATAGTTTAAGTACTGAGCTTCCCAAACAACCACACTAATTAAATGAGCATGGTGATTTGCTGCCAGGATTTGTGCTAAGCTAAGCTAATTAAGAATCCTTCAGTTATGAAAAGTATTTTTACACGCTGTGATCGGATACATCACGTTTGTGCAAAGTGAAGTACTCCACCCCAGTAATGTGTTTGTTTTATGAATAGAGGGAAACTTTAACAGTTTTGCCAACACTTCGTTTAAAATAGCCCTGAAAGTTTCTTTGAGGATCACCTGGAAAACCAACAAGGAAATAATAATGGTGAGCATGTAGCATTTATAATCAGAGGCAACAGAAGGGACAGCAACCGAGTCAACAAATCAGTACAGACGTTCAGTAATAATGTTTTCACAATGAACCACAAACAGTCTGATTACTCAGACACGGCCGCAGGATACAGAAACAGAAAAGCCTTTAGTCAAATACAACCTGATGGGAACAAAGATCAAGGGCGTCAGAAGAACAGGATTGTTAGTCCCCCCCCCCCCCC